AGCTCCCTCCCTTTTTGTTTGCAGGATCTATACAACATATAAGAAATATATCCATTTACAGGAATTTTAAAAATCTCTACCACACTATACCAAAGATACACGGTATGACTATAACTAAGCATGTAACCAAAGAATTTTGCAGACTTGAAAGTCTTTTCTGTGGCTCCAGGCTAAATAAACCCACTTTCCTAAGCCTCTCTCTTTGGGCTCTACTTCTCTAAAGCTTTAAGAATCAATTTCCATTTCTTCAGCAACCCACCAGAGACTATACTGTAACTGCTAACAATGAAGTGCTTTCTAATGGTTAAACAAGACATTCTTGACCCATCTCATAATTTCCTTCAGTCTTCAGTTCTGAGTTTCAGCTACAGATTAATGTTTAATTCCCCATTGACTTCCTCCCCAATCTTTCCAAATTACTATTTGTCAAATGTCCTTTTCAGAAATCTTTCATATGTTTATGATATGTTGCACTGATTTTGGTATCAACTCTTTATTAGCATGTATTCCCAAGAGACGTACTTCTGTAATGATTTATATTATATTGCATTATATCTTAATGTAGGGCTGTGAGGTGATTTAGGACTTTTTATATACTTTTGTTCATACAGAGGAATAAACTATGTTTCAAATACAAAATGACATCTTGAACACACCCCAGTCACTGGGATAATCCATGGTTCATCACTGGCTACCTCAGTACTTTGTCCAATGAACTATGATGTCAAAAATCTAAGCTTCATTTGATTTTAAGTGCATGATCTGTTAGCTGTTTCCATATGCCATAACTATTCACTTGCAAAATTATTTATAAACTAGTTTATTGGTCCTATCTGGCAAATATGACCCACCTGTTATAAAATGTGATTACTTCAGAAAGCTAACAATTGTGGAACATTTTCACAATATATTAGTCTAACTGAATTAGACTATTCATATACTTTCAGAAAGCCCTTTAATACCTATTAACAGTTTGTGAATAACGAAATTAATTAATATTAATTTTAGTTGACAAATCCAACACCAATAACCTGTTAGTATACTTTAATCCACTTACAAACAGTCTGTAAAAATTAACCAACAGATGCTTCCAATCTGGTAAAAAATATGCAGGTCATTAGCATTATTTTGATGATACCAAATGTTCAATATATGAATATTATGATTAAATTTCAGGGAGATATATAAACAATGTTCTTTTATAACCTTGTTAAGTCTTAACAGAAGCCAAAGAGAGTAAAATATGGCAGTCCTTCCTAAAATCAAAATCAGCATTTGTCATTACACTTCTCATTTTTGTGCTTCAACTAAGAACTTGACTGAGTGCCACTAAGACTATAAAAATAACATGAATACAGGGAACAAACAGGTCTGCCTTATTCACTCCAGGGTCCCAATGCCAAATATAAGGTCCAGCAGGCAATATGCACCCAATAAATATTTGCTGATTTGAATGTGGTAGCCAAGTATAAAGAGAAAAAGTGGGAGGAATGAAAGAGGAGGAAAGAGAAAAGAAAACAGATAATCTTGAAAAATACCCATATATATTTCCAGAAGAATTTAAAATATGGAAAGCTAAGATGTATCTCAAAAAGTTAGAACAGAGAAGCAAAAAAACAAAAATGAGATATAACAAAATAAGCTATGAAAGAAAAAATGATACAAGTGAATCAGGAAAAAATGTTAATTTTACAGGAAAAAGCTTAAAGAGGGGGTTTCTGTATTTCTTAAGATATAGCACAGGTGCTTGACCAATGATGCAATATTATAAATGGTCACAGAGATTAATTTTAAAACAAAAAAAGATCTAACCGAAAGAAAAAACTATGAATTTAATAAAGGGCAACAAGAGTTAAGAGAAAATGTCCAAGCTCTTATCAAGAATATCTTTCTATACGTACTGGTAAGTAGAGCAAGATGTTTTGTGGAAAGTCAGAATTGCTTTGCAATCAGCAGACCAGGAGAAAAAATCTTGGCTGAAATGTGGTAAACATTAAACAAGGTAACTAGAAGAAAACTGGTACACCACCGGTACTATTAGTTCCTATTCCTTTTCCAGCTCTCAGGGTATTAGACATGTAAACCCCAGTAATCTGGACATAAAGCAGTGTCTACTGTAAGAAAAAAGTCATCCTTGTTGACAACAAATAAAGAATGTGAGAAAAAATTTCAAGGTTCTCTTTAAATGATTGGATTTAATTCCTTTGTTCTCACTACCTATTTCCAATATGTAAGAAGCACAAAGGATTACTGGTATCTATCATTTTAAATGCCTAGGATGGAACATGCATCTTTGTAATCAGAGGAACATCCCTGGTTCTTAGACCAAAGAGTTACTGCAATAAAAAACATACATACACCATGTCTCTAAAAACCCACTATTCTTCAATAATCTGAAATCTTTGTCCTTCCCTGCTTCATTATGATGCAACCCACTGGTGAAAATCAGCCAGCAGCCAATGCCTCTATCTTCTGCTTGCTAAAGAGTACAGAGGCAACTGGATTTGCAACTTGGAGTTAACAATGTATAAGTGACAAGGTGTAACCTTGAATTCTGCAGAAATTACAAAATTGATTCAAACAAAGTAATTTTAGGAGTCACGGGGTCAGGCAAATGCTAACATTTGGACCCAATGCCTCAGCATCCAGGCCAGGAATAAAGAGACAACATGAAGCAACCCATCCAATCCACCAGCCCAGTCTTACCTAAGTTTTCCGGACATCTTTCTCCTTCCTTTCTGATCTTTCCTATTAAATATCTGTATAAAATCCCGCTTCTCTGAAAGCAGCAATGACTGGCCTTTTCCAATAAAATACTAGTAATGCCAAAAAGCCCACTTAGGACTCTTCAAATAATGCTTTCTAGGAATTATTCTTTAAAATGCAGACCAAAAAATAGTCACCTTCACAGCTCATCTCCAGTTGGCACTGTGAAAAGTTGGCATTGCTCAGGGTCACAACCCTGGGCTTCCCCATCTTTTCTATTCACCCTGGAAATATCCACTGTCACAGAAAAGAGAAAGCAGCATTTGAGCTGAGACAAAAGATGGACGTCGTAGTCCTCTTTTTGGTGAAGTGAAAGAAAACCCAGGCCAAAGAGCCAGCATGTACTAAAGCAGAGAGGGATAGAACTACGGAATATTCAGAAAATGATCAAGTCTCACTTTAATCTTTGTAACTAATATATTAGATTAAGCAAGTACATCAGCTTTTTTTTTCAACCTTGAATTTCAAGGCTAAAGTTAGATGACTTAAGAATTTTTTAAGGTCCAATTATTTCATTTAGGGTTAGCACTACAGCTAAATTAAAGACATGCTAACAAGTTTCCCTTTTGAGCCTCATTAATTAGGAAAGTAATCAGAGTAAAGTGAAAAAAAAAAAAAAGGAAAGAAAGAGTAGGCTGGATGGCAGCATTACTTAAATTGCTTTTAGGTACTACCATTTGTACCTACTAGGAAAGCAAAAGGAAAACTAATCAATTTCAGACTATGGAATCTGAAATTCTGAAGTGTTTTACATGTAAATACACATTTTAACTGCCCTATATTTTCTTTGATTGCCTGAACAGTGCACTAATTTTATTCAAAGGAAATTCTGATTCTCCACAATCAAAAGATAAAATTAAGATTTGCTTGCTTCACAAGTTTTCTTAGGGTGCACTTGCTGAGAAAATTCCCCCTATTTTCAAAGACCAAAATATATTATTTTTAATATTTTAGTCAAGACCAATGGTGCTCAAAAATATCTGCTAAAGGCTTGCAATGTAACACAAATTTAAGAAAGCAACCTTAATTTACAATTATCTTTTAGAAAGAATTTCTAATTTGCAATTATCTTTTAGAAAACATTTCAAGAGAATACAAATGAATTTTTAAGGTATCTGCCAACATTCTTTGGTTGCTGTGATGATCAATTTACATCTTATATAAAGCATCTAGCATGGTGTCTTTTAAGAAGACAATTCTTCCCACTCTACACCAAGGCCTCCCATCCACATCCCTCTAGCACAAGCTCTCCCTACCAGCTCCTCTGTGTTTAGTGAGCCCAGGGATATAGGTGAAATAAGTTTATAGTGAAAAAGGTAGGGTTTTTTTGGTCTTGTTTTGTTTTTCTTATTAAAAAGTAATGATTGATCTAAGTGCCTTGTCCTACAGATCTAAAATTTACATTTTACATAATACTTAGAAAATTAACATAGGGCTGGCCAGTTAGCTCTGTTGGTTAGAGAAAGGTGCTAATAATACCAAGTCCAGGGTTTGACTCCTGCACCAGCCAGCTGACAAAATTTTTTTTTAAAAAAGTTTAATTTAATATATGTGAATATCAGCCTTCAAATGCTTGTGAGATTGGATGAATTAAATTCAATTTTTGGACACAAGTAATAACCTAAATAATTTTTTTTAATCACACTACACAGGTAAAAGCTATTACAAAACAATTTGGAAAATTTATGCCACTGCTTTTAATGAAAAGATCATATAACCTACTCAAATACTTCTCTTTCAAGCTAACTTTCAAGGCCCTATAAATTTGATAATTCTATCCCATGTGATTCATACCAATTAATGTATCAGTCACTGTAATAATAAAGGGTGGTAAAATTCTGACTAAAGGAAAACAAAATTTCACATTTTGTTTTTCTCCTTCTCTGACTAAAGGAAATTATCATGCCAAAATGGTCTCTGAAAATATCCTCCTTCACAAAAGTCTAATTTACCAATAGAACCCCTTCAAAAGAAGTATTATATAGAAAATTTAACAAAGTTTTGTATTAATCATTTGCATTTTTAAAATTTCCCACTTCATTCACTGTATAACAAAATTCACTTTTAAAACATCTTATTTCATTAGATCATTTATTTACCCATTAATAATAATAATAATGTAAAAATACGTATATGATTTTTTAAAATAAAGTTTTCTAGTGGTTGATATATAAAAAATGAAAATCTTAAAATTCTAATATTTAATTAATAAACAACCAAGATGTTAAACTTACCTTTTTGTTGGCAACAAAATGTATTCTCAAGTTTACAAAGCAAATCCACACTTTCATACTTATTTTCATTTACTTTTATCCAGAAACAGTTTTCAGTCATTTCATGAGGCCTGATCTACAATCAGAGAGAACACTGATTCATAAATAGTTGAGTGTTTCAACTGTACCAACCGAAGCATTACATTTAGACCCAGTGTCCCACAGGTGCCAGCAGATGTTTATAAAGTATCACTGCAAGGCTTTCCTCCAAAGTGTATTCAATGAAACACAAGTTCTGCAGGTTGTTAACACCTTATTAGGAAGAAAAAGTTTCCATGATCAAATAGTTGGGGATTTGAAGCCAGCCGACTGAAATAAAGTTTAATTTGTTTCTTCTCAATTGTATTTCTCAGAATTTTTAATTCTTGGAGGACAAGATACATTATACAGCATTTCCCAAGTTTACATGACCATGAAAACATCTGTGCAGAATTCAGAATTCCTATGACCTGAATAAGTAGTAGCTGACAACTAATAATTCTTTTCCCAATTGCTAACAACAAAAAAGTTCCTAATAACATCAGCATTTTTGTACTTTTGAGACACTTCATAAACATGTTTCAATTGTGATAATGGTAAATTATCAATTTAGCTACATATCAAATCTCATTGGAACAACATTGACTCTCACCAAATTTACAAATCAGAAAGCTTTAAGTCAATAGCAAAGGGCTTTTACTCAACACTTTTATTTAAAAAATAATGCCATTTTATTTATTGTCACTTTGATTAGGGTGCCCACTGGAAGTTATATAAGTCAAAAATTAAATTTTAATCTAGGTGAAAGTATGTTTTCCTCCATTAGTTTTACCTTTAACCAATTCAATCTTCTCATGCTGATTTCAGGTTTAAATTCTTTCTTTGGTTTCAACCCAAAAGGCAGAGTTGGTGGAGGAGGAGAGTTTTGTCCACTGAGAAATCCCAGGGGAGGTGGTGGAGGCACAGGATAACCATATGGCATCGGCATTCCTGGAAGTGGAGGAGGGGGTGGAGGGGGTGGAGGTGGCACCCCTCCACAAGACGGCAGTAAAGGGGGAGGAGGAAGTCCTGGGTGGCCAGTCCCATCTTCTTTTGATGAGGGCAAAGGAATATTCATATCAGCAGGCAAGGCGCCGAACTAGAAAAAAAAATAATAAGGAATACAACTAAGAACATGTATATAAAACATGTAAAACTATACTTTACTCAAAAGGTATTATTTTAAACCAAAAATAATTATCAGTAATTTTATATGGTTTAACCTAAAAATAAAATTCCAACAATATTTTCCCCCAATTTAAGAATTATAACTTTTATTTTCATGAAAATGTAATTGCCAAAAATATAACTCCCCATCTTGAGGCACTTATGGCTGTCTAGGTGGAGATGTCCAGGAGGGAAATATGTATATGGATCTAGAAAAGTAGAAAATAAGCAGTCTCTGGATCAAAGTTGAAGCTGTGAAAGTAAATAAGTTCACTCGGAGTATGTAAAGAATATGCAGCAGGAGGAAAGGTCTACATACAGAATTGTATGAAACACAAGCATTTAGATGAAAGGTAAAAAAATGACTAACTCGTATTGCTACATCATACCTTTGCTTGAATCTTCTCAATGCTGTCCTAATATACTTGAGAAAAAAAAATCTAAAATTAATAGTAGGGCCTACAAGGGTATGCCATGATCTGGTCCCTGCCAACTTGTCTTTCAAGTGACTTTCTTATTCCATATACATGCCAACCTCATACTGATTTCAGGGCCCTTGTACATGGTATTTGCTCTGCCTGGATTATTCCTTTCACCTGGCCATCTCCTTCACCAGCCATCTCCTTTTGGTCTGAGCTGACATGTCTTTTTCTCAGGAAAGCCTTATCTGCCCACTCATTTTACACTCACAGTACTTCTCAACAGCTCTTATCAAGAGCATAAAATAATTATAAGGAATCATTACCACTTATCTCTGATAGATTAATAAGTTCAATGAGGGAAGTGACTATGTTATATTCACTACTCTTTCCCCAGCACCTAAAGTAGTGACTGGCACATGACAGCCACTGAAGATACGTGTAGATAAATGAATTAAAGACAGGAAGAGAAAAAAGCAAGCACAGGGTCATAAACCACAAGTGAAAAAAGTGCCCTCACCCCTGCAAAAGAGAGAGAGTGTTCTGCAGAGTCAAATGCCACAGAAAAGCAAGGTAAAAATCAGAAGTAAAAAAGAACCTGCTGTGTCCACTGATCACTTTTGTACTTATGTTTCCATGGCATGGTAAGAATAGATGCATTTTGATTATCATGAAAAAGATCTTCTTGGGTTAATAAATGATTTTTATAATATGATTAGTCTCTTGAAATTACTAAATTCAATTCTAAGCTATATATATATGAACTACTGTGAAAATGGTGGGCATTTAATAAATGTTAATAAATCATTTTAAAAGTTTTATGGAACAATTACAAAAAACTGGTCACATATAAAAAGCCTGAAATCAATGACATCTGAAATCACACACACAGACACACACACACACACACACACACACACACACACACAGTATTATAAAATAAATGGGGACCATACATCAAACAGCATAGCATGCCTTATCAAAAGCATTAAGTGTAAAGAAGAACCAGTTCATTGTTACCCTGGGTTGCTGTGATCAATAATGTGTGTATGTTACACTCACGTTCATATGCATTTTATAGTTAACTATCAATGTCTTAAAACAAAGATATGGTCGAATTTCTGCTCTAGAATAGTTCATTTGATAAAGTAAGTATGATTGACTTGAAGATATAGGTCAGCAGGCCAGACACTGTGACTATCTTGCTATCATCATATTCCCAGCACCTAGCAGTACTTGATTGTTAAGTGACTAAAGGAACAAAGGAATGAAAGAAGAGACAATGGAAGATATTTTATTCATAATCTTCACAGTCAGCGTAGCTTTGACCCGAGAGAAGGATCTGAAGATCAATGCACAGTATTCATGAGAAATACAAACTTAAATTCAAAGAAAGAATTTACCAAGTGTTTTTCAAAAAGAAATAGAGTGGCCAATATTTAGACTTTAATTCCAAGCTTTCTTCTGATAGTCATCAACACAGGTCAGCATTGTGCACAATTTAAAACAATTTAGGAGATTCCTTGATTTAATTTCCATTTCAAAACATAAATTTATTCCCATTTTATACAAAAGCATCATGTAGCAATAACTTATCCAAAGATGGCAGATGTATTTTTTAAAAAACTAGATTTTCTAGAGTAGATTTACAAGTAATCCTTCAACTGGGAAACATTAAAAAGAGAAGAAAGTTCATAAATTTATATTAGCCCAGACCAGGAAAAACTTGTCATAAATCCTTCAGCCACTGTCTATAACTCAATCTGAAGTTGAACACAATCAAATGTTTCTTTTAATGTAAGAGACAAAGATCCATATGGGAAAGATGAAAAAATTCATAAAATGCAGTATGTACTTCCTTTTTACAGTACTAAAGGAAGATCAATGAGAATAATTTTCTTGTACATAGTAGATCTTAATTTTTATTCTAAAATTGAAAACTGAGAGAGAGCCATCTCTTACGCTATCTTCAGACAGCCTCTGTAACAAAACTATCCACTAAGTATTTAAAAATAAACAAAATTGTCAATAATATGGAAAATAATATACCTTGAGACTATTTTAACATAACCATAAATTAGGACGAAAGGAAAATAGCAAAACTGTACTTATTGCTCATTATCCTGTAGATAAATCTACAGGAAGAAATTTAGCTATGAATATTCTACCTCCTTACTTTCATCCATATAAAGCAAGCAGATGATGTATTTCTTGCTATCTAAATGTTTTATGTGTAGAGGGTGTATGTGAGCTATCTGCTTCATAATCCAGATTTGCTCTCTTTTTTGTCGTGTTTTAAATCTGTTTACTTTTGGAAATTGAAAAATTATCAGAAAATGTTCTCATTCAGCTAGAGGTTATCTTTCACTACAAGGTTTCCATAGGCTGAAGGTTTTGAAAAATAAATAGCTTGAGAAATAATTTCCTGTAGTGGGATAAAGATCAGTGATGAATGACACATCTAAGAGTAAAAGACTTTCTTAACCTTTATGCTTAATTATTTAGGAAACGTGACATTAGGACCAAAACCCAAATGAAACAGAAGGAAGCACATTAATTAGTAAAAGCTCAGGTATTTCTAAAAATACAAATAGAAAAAAACTGGCAATGTAAATTTTTAAAAAAATAAACACAGCAATACATATAAACAATACTATGAAAACATATAAGTTTAAACATTTTGATGCTATGAAGATACAACATGACCTTTGCTCCCCTGATGTGGTTTTAATACCTACATTCATTCAGGATGGTATTTTACCTGAGATTTAAAAGCTTGGAACTCTGCTTGAAGCTCATTAATCTCTGCCTCTTTTTTCTGCAATTGAGCCTGAGTTTCTTGGTGGTCAGTAAACTCTTTTTCAAACTGAAAAGAAAAAAAATAAAAATAAAAAAAGAGATGAAAATGAAAAGCACCGTTCTTCATATAGAAATATGTTCTAATGATTAATAGAACATAAATTTCTGAATTGGTTTTACAAAAGGAGTGGTAGATTTTCACTAAGTCACTCACAGCCTTTCTCTAAGTCCCTCCAGTTCCCACCAAAATCATTCATTCACAAGGGAGCAGACAAAGCCAGAGATGGAGTCTGTGACCTTCTTCTCACAGCAGAGCAAACTGGTTCACAGTTATCTGCAACCCTGGCATTTTTCTTAAAAGTCCCTAAATATCACTGTGACATTGTGTAAAATAATAGAGAGCAAAGCATTGTATGAAATTCCTTGACCCCACACCTGCAAAAACTTATACTTGAAACTCATTTGAAGTTTATCAGCATGATTTTTAAAAATTCCATTTTAATATATTTATTAATAAACTGCATTTATAAATGCATCAATTATTTTTTTCTTATAACAATATAGTATCTCTTAATATCTTTGGGAAATAAATGATAAATTAATCTTTCAAAGTCCCTCTTGTAATATCTTCTGGGAGGAAGGCAAACAATAAAATTTGGTTAATCCAAAGACTTTTCTAATTTATAGAACTACTCATCACAAGTTCCCATCTTGTACTCAGATAACTTCACTTTACCATTATCAGGACTGAAAACCTATCCTAACAGAAATAAATTTAAATAGGGTACTATCTCATAATCATGAACAAGTATTTGACTCCTTTTAAAAAATGGAAAAAACAACCCAATCATTAAAAAAATGCAACTACGTCACAAATGTAGCTTCCACACTTTAAGTACAGTCAAAACCTCAATTAGTGAAATAACAATATTGAACTCAACAGTTTACAAAGGACTTTTATTTTTATTTAGTTTACAAAACGACACAAAAAGGTAGTTACTAGTCCCTTTCATACAGTTAGTAAAAGATATGAGATTAAAAAGCCAGATCTTCTGCCTTCAAAGCCTGAGTTACTCAGATGAAAACACACCATCTCCCTACAATTAATGTTTGAAATGCTTTACAGCATTTTTTTTTAAATAAGACTATTTTTAGAGCAGTTTTAGGTTCACAGCAAAACTGAACAAAAGGTAGAGATTTTCAATACACTTCCTGTCCCCCACATGTGCATACTCTCCCCCATGCTTTATACTTTTAAAGCATAAAAAGAAGCATTTTGAAATTTCATCACAAAAACTCTGAAATAAAATATTATTTTAACTCCCATTTTGCAGGTGAGGAAAGTTAATTTCAGACTACTCATCCTTTCATTCCCAACCTTGTGTTCCTTTATAAAGATAATAGAAACTAATAGGTAAAAACTGTCCAAATGTCCTTCACCTTGCCTAAACCACACATTACCACTCCTGCTACTACTATGGCTCTTCCAAATCCCTCCTACCATTAAATAATTAAAAAGATACTAATCCTAAACCTAATAAAATAACTAATCTACAAGCAAACCATGCTTAGGTCTCAGAGGTTCACCCACTCCTCCTGTCACCCAGTGCTTCCCCAGGGACTTCCTAAATCAATTGCCTTCACACCTCTGGTATACTGTTAACTGCTTGGTACTTTTGTCCTTCATCTTACCCCTTATAAACCCCTCTAACCATAATCGTACTTTTGCTTCAAAGTCAGCCTCGTCAAAGAATGTTTTTAGTCCATACTCATTTGTCAGATGTGCTGAACATCAACTTCATTATCTACCACAATTAAGCTATCATTCTGTCACTCTAAAAATCATGATTATCAAATTCCAAATCCCTGGACTCCTCTCAGCCTCATCTTAGGTGATCTCTCAATAGCCATGCTATTCAATACCATAGCCACTGGCCACAAGTGGTTGTTTAAATGTAAACTTTAATTAACAAACATTAAATAAAGTTAAATATTCACTTCTTCAGTCATGCTAGTACACACTAGGCACACATGGCTGCCATGTTGAACAACACAGACTGTAAAACATTTCTATCATCCCATATTAGACAGGACTACTCTACAGCATAAATACTTACAAACACGCCTCCTTTCTCTTCTCCTGTATATTCCATTACAACACACTCTTCTGGTTCTCTTGCTACTCCTTGACTATTTCTGCCAACTTTTGTTAAGAGTTCCTACTCCTCATAATCCAATCCCTTAATGGTGGCATTCTATAGGATTTGTCTTTCCTCACCCTTCCGCTGGTCTCATTCCACATTTCTCATAAGATCACAACGTCTACACACATATGCTTCAGTCACCATTCATACACTGATGGCTTCCAAATCCCTACCACTGGCTCAGCTTCTCATCTGAATTCCAGATCAGTCCATAAATGTATTTTCAACTACTCAATTAGAATTTTTCAAGACAAACAAAAATATAATATTTTCAAAACTTTCCCCCATAACCCTTGGCTTTTTTAAATACTTTTATTCTTAGTGAAAGAGAGCTCAAATGACATGACTCCTTTGTGCTTAAACATTCAGTGGCTTCATTATAAAGGCCACAATCATTAACTAAATATCTTAAGAGACCTCTAGAATCTGGCCTCAACCTACCTACCTACCTCCCACTATATAATAAATATCTAACAGCATGCCTAAGATGTGTCCCCCAGAGTAGCAGTTGCTGGAGATACAGAGTTGAACAGAGTATAGTCAGTACTTTTAGCAAGCACAGTGTCTGGCAGTAAAGTAAAAGCAAATTTAACAACCTAAAATCTATGAAAATTACCAGCAATAAGGAAAGAAAGAGAAAGAGAAAGAGAGAGAGAGAGAGAGAGAGAGAGAGAGAGAGAGAGAGAGAGAAACTGGAGGGTGGAGGTTGATAAACAATTCCTGGAGGAATGATGCTTGACCTCAGGTTTGAAAAACTTGAGTTAGCTGAGAAGTACAGCTACCATTACAAGATGAGGGAATAGCACAGTGCATAGGATAATGACAAGCAATACTTTGTAAAGTGCACAAAAGGAAGTATGAGAACAAACTGCAGGGGATGATACTAGAGGTGTACACAGGAATGGAACTGTTGAATTTTGCAATAAGCCAAAGAGCAAACCCTTTTTCCTAAAAACCATAGGGAGCTATTAGAGTATTTATAACAAGAAAAAAAAACATCAAATCCGCACTTTGGAAAGTCCAACCAGCAGCAGGGTGGACAACAAACTGAAAGAGAAGTGCTAGAGGCAGGGAAATTTATTTGGAGGCTAATGCAGTTATCTAAGCAAGAACGTAAGATCTGCCTAAATTCAGGCGGAGAAGAGGGTAACAAAAAGGAAATGAAATGATGTTACAGAATACAAAAAATTTGATATCTGACTGAATGAAGAAAATGAGTAAGGGGAGTATATTTCTGTGGTTTTACAAGGTGGTAACAAAGTGTTGTAATTTAGGGGGAAAAATGCAGGGAAGAAAGGTATTTTTAGCGACAAGAAAGATGAATTTGATTTTGGATATGATATGGTTCAGATACCTTTATATAGGAAATTCAAAATAAGTTTATGTATGTCTCCTCCTTGGATATCACACCTTGATGATATCACACCTCATTCTGATTCTTCAGGCATCACATTAAATTTCACTATCTTGGGTAAGTCTTCCCTGGCCACCCAAGACTAGATGAGAAACCCTTCCCATTAGGCTTACACACCACCTAAGTTTTTTCTGCCATGGCAATTATCACACTGTAATAAAAAACACCAGAATGCAGCATCATACACCTCACTAACATTCACCAACCTGAAAGCTCATAAAACTGAGAACCCTTTCTACTTTATTGATCACCTTTCCAATGCCTTACATTTAGAATTAAACTCAATAAATATTTGTTGAATGAAGTGATGAGTAAACTACTGTCAGATCTTCCTTTATATGTTGAATGCTTGTGTCAATATCATACATTAATGTTCCCCAACTCTCCCAGCATCAAAAGTCTCTGAGGGGTCATTTTCTCTTTTTCCTTTTTTAAGACTAAGACTAAGTTCACTGCTACAGAGCAAGAAATAAAAAATTAAATTGTTCTTATGAGAGTAAGAATGAAGAAGCTCTCTCACAATATCAGTATGTGCACTATCCTATCACATAGGCCCTAGACAAAAATTCGTAAGGAAAAAAGACCATCTATGGGACCAAAGATAAAACTATCAAAACAACCAGAGTCATAATTAGTACACTTTAAGAAAACTTATGAAATTAACATGGCCATATTGAAAGATGTATACTACTTACTAAAGAGATAAATTTTCACATCCTCCCTATGAAAGTATCAGATGAAATATAAACTCTGTTTTAGCATTTTGGTAATATCTACAGTCAAATCGCTACAGCCTTGGGGATAAAATGAATCTCCATTAAAAGCATACCTTATAAAAACTGATGTGATAGCCTTCTCCAAAAACAGTTACTAAAGCAATATTACACTTACAAAATTACACACAAAAATGCCAACAAACACAGTTAAGGCTGAGGTTCTGCTTAATTTCATTCCGTAGGGTAAATATATTAGTGTATCTGTACAAGAAGGTTGATAATTCAGTATTCTCTGTATGCTTTCTGACATTTCTGGTCTTCATTTTTCAAATTTATGCACCAAAATAAAGAATGTGTGTAGCAACTATGATAGCTTCCTGCCTAAAGCAAAGTATTTACATGTGTCCTTATAAAGCTATCAGAACAGAGTTTTTGCTGATATATACAAAATGGTATAGCAATAGAAATCTTTTCTGGCACAAACAATATTTTCTGAATATTCCTAAGACATGTAATTTCTGACTAAAAAAAGACAACTAACCTTGAACAAGGTCTTTCTTCTACCTGTATTTAAAGCTTACAATATTTTAAAAATCTGTTCAGACAGTTATGTTTAACTCCATTCATATACACTATATACCTATAAATGATACCAAAAGCAAATTTATACTATCTGGGATGTATCCAAATCAAATACTTGAAAGTTTACTAATACTTTCCTATGACAAGTGAAAGTGCTTACTGAGCTTAGAACACAAAGTTGGCTAGGTGAGGGATCACCCTACAACATGAACTGTACATCTTAGGACACTTAATTTAAATGACCCATTAATTACTTTCTCCCAGTAAACTAAGTCACTTCAGGGGAATGACATTATATTAATAGTTGTAACCCTAGCCTATAGCAAATGGTTTAAGATATAATAACCTCCCAGTAAGTGTTCAGTGAACTCAACACCTTAGGAATTTTTAGGACATTAAAAACATTTTTCATAAGTTACTCCCAACTTATGAAAGTTTGCCTATCATTTGCAAGTTATGCTTTATCTTCAAAGTTTATAGAAATATGCAATTCTTTCAAGATATATTCAGAACCTGCAAAAATGTACACTCCTTGGCATGGTGTCTAACATGCAGTAAATGTCCATTCAGCAAATGTTCATTGTGGGTTCACTGTTGTGGCAGTACTACTAATAATTATTATTCCTCCTCCAATGTGAGAAACCAGCCACAAGAATTCAAATCAGAGTGACTACCTGAAGTGTGATGAATACAATTGAAAAAACAAAAGAAAGAAAGAAAAAAGAAAAAGTCCAATAGGTACATGCAAAGCCATAGATTAAAAAAAACCAAAAACCTAAACACTACCTTAAAGAAAAGTAGGGAATGGATGGATGGTCACTACTAGCTTGAAATAAATAAAACTGGTAATGTCTGATAGTTGTGACCTATGCAAAGGACAATTTTATAGTTCAACTTCACATAATGAAGCAACTTTAATCAAAACAAAACACAAGATAACCTTTCTCTTAAAATTTTAGATAGAATTTCAGCGTTCAAAGCCTAAACTATATAATTACCTGAGAATTACTCCAATCTTAAAATTTCATTTGTTCATTTTGTTCAATCATTTATTTATTCACTTGTTCAAAAAATATTTTTTTAATTTTTACACAGGGCCAGCAATTGTTCATGGTACAGTGATATTGATAAAAGCAAACACAAATCCCTCATAAAGTTTACTCTGGAGGAAGAAATAGGTAATACATTCATATCTCTATATGTAAATACATAAACTATGTGGCATGTTAGATGATGATAGATATAATGGAAGGAAAACAAATAAAGAATAGGGAGGATCAAAGTTCGGAGTGGAAAGTTAAAATTTTTAAACAATGGTCTAGGAAGTCCTCCTTGAAGGATGGCATTTGCGTACATAGCTGAAGGAGGGAAAGAAGACAGAAGAAATAACAGGCAAAGTCCCTGAGGCAGAAGAATGCCTGCAGTGATTCCTCACACAGTCTTTCAAAATTAGTAAAAGTTACTTACTTTCTTGTAAAATTCTGATGCTTTCTCTTCAAACTCTTCTAGTTTTGCTTGATCTATGCAAACATCTAAAATTGCAATGACAGAAAATTTTTAATTGCAGCATTTCTTAGATTCATTATTACTTTAAAAGTTTAGAAAGAAAAAAAAAACCCACAGAAAAGAATTGGAAAAACAGCCAGTAATAAAATAAACAAAATAGGAAAAAAAATTTAATATTGGAATGGAGAAGGCTTTTCTAACCACGATACCAAAAAGCAGACATCACATAAGAAAAGATAAAATCAACTACAATTTTAAACTTCTGTCAGATAACAGGAGAGAGTTCAGTTATAACATACAACACTCAAAGGTTCCTATCATCAATCCACAAATATTCTGAAGGAAGAAAAGAAGATAATATCCAACAAAAGCTAGGAAAACAGGCAACAGTAATGAACAGGAAATTAGGAAAATCAAAACCAAAAATTGCTAAAACATATGAACAGATGTTTTCTTTTCCCCAATTGTATAAACTTTTCAATGATAAATCATAACACAGATTAAATGATCCATAATGCCAAATGTTGGAGTTGGCATGGAAAAACCAACTGTCCTACACAATAGTCAAAGTATAAGTTGGGAACTTTGCTGATGAAAAACTTCACAATATGTACTAAAATTTTAAATACTCATTTTCTTTCACCCAGCAATTCTATTTCTAGGACTTGCCTTTAGGTAGTAATACTCTTTAAAATATTGTTTATGCTAGCAAAAAAACTGGAAATAACTTAAATGCCCATCTATAATGGATGGATTAAATAAGTTATGGTCTATATCCACATGATGGGATACTATGCAAGAGAAGTAATTTATACGAATTTACCACGGTATATCTTATCCTTGCTTTTTTTTAAATAAAATACATAAACATAGTTAATAAAAGATATTACAGAGGAGCTTATAATGAAAAGTAAAAGTCAAGCAACCATTGCATCCAAATTTCAGTCCCATTTCTTAAATGCTTAAATATAGCTCTTTCTATTTTAGGTGATTCTGATGGTTAGCTTCTTAATTCTAAATCAGATATGCACACCATTATTTCTTGATTTACTTACTTAAGACAAGTAAGTAAAGATAAGTTATAGATAAGTTCCTATTATAAAATAAAAAGACAGTGTTCCCTATCCCAATTTTTTATCATTTTACTTACAAAATTGCCTGGCTCCATAGCACTAAATACTTAACCTTGTAATTCCTGTTACACAGACAGTATCTCTCGATTCCCAGGATAATATATCAAATTATCTGTGCTCTATGCATTCCAGCACCTTTCTCTCCTATTGGCCAACCTTGTGTCTCCTCTTGCCTATTCATATAAATACAATCATATTGTTTTCTGTAATAAGTCTTCTGTATTATGTTCATAAGTTTACACTAAACATTTAAAATCAATAAATATAATGAATTTATTAAAACTATATATATGTGCTTCACTTATACAGCCAAGCAGTGTTCAACAATTATGTTTCCTTCTCAATAGTTAATAAGGTTCAAACCTCTCAGCTACTTAAGAAAAAAACATTCCCAATGTGCAGGTAGAAAAAATTTTTTCAGACACTATTCAAAATCATTTCACATTTTAGTTTGTTCATATTTACAGCATGATTTTCTTTCTTTCTGTGTCCCCCCTCCTACTCCTCAGAAATGTCTAACTGCTTCTCTCCTGTGGATAGAAACAACCATTTTCTTTATCAGTGTCACTAATATTATCCAGTTCCTTACTCCATCTACACATTCTTCTTCCTGGACTCTGATACTATGTGAAGAAAAAACAACCTTGCACAGATAGGTAGTTAAAAAGGGGAAGTGTATTTTAATAGTCTTTTCAGATCATTGTGGAAGTTCTTTGATGTTACCCTAAAATTTTTCAAGTGGTACCTTCTCAAATAGTAGTTACATTGTGGAATCACTTATACCAAAGAACTTGTACACTGTTACTTTAAAATCCACTGATCAACGGTGTGCTTTCAATGAATCTTTTGCCTGCAGAATTTGTAACAGCAGGCACTGGTCACTTGGAAAACAGTGGTTTGTTGAGTCATGCAGATCTTCCAAATGCTGACACATCTCTTTATACAATATAAAAATACTGGTTAATACTAATATAGGTTAATATCACCACTGACCTCATCACAAAATTTTGTACTGAGAAGCTGTCGAGTTGACAGCAGCAGATACAAGTTATCCAAAAGTTAAATTTTCACTGTAAAGCTCAAATTCTCTCATTGGCAACAAATTCTGTCATTTTCTTTAAAATTATAGGCTCATTTTTAATAAAATGTGTGCCAAATATTCAAGTTGTAGTAGTCACAGTTCGTATGACAGAAAGTCTTTCAAAGTAAAAACAAAAACAAAACAAACGAACAAACAAACAAAACCAAGCAACCAGTTCTGCTCTGCTGGCAACTCCAACAATTACACAAGTTTTTTATGCATATATCCAATTTGTTCATACAAATATTAAAACAATATATACTCAAGGGTCAATATTTTAAGATATTAACATTTTTAGGACTTTATCAAGGACATGCTTAAGTAAAAAGTGGCTGTTGTTTGTTTTGTTTTACTGAGGGTAAAGAATACAATGACTACCACAGTTTAGTGCCACAGCCTTGATTCATACATAAAGTGTCAGCAGCTTTACCTATTGTTGTTTTGTACCATGAGTGCAAAATATCAATGCAATAAAAAAGGCAAATAATATCTTAGTGTTATTATGAAAATAGTTCGAACAATTAGGACTCCCTAAAAGGATCTCAACTACCCTCAGGAGTCCACAGGCCACACTATGAGAACCACCCTGGAGCTGACCGTGGAGTAATAGACAGTAAGATATTTTCATTGAAATAATAAATACTCACCCACAAATTGACTTAAATCTAAATCTAGTCTTTTTCGATATGTGAAGTCTGGATCCATTCCATCTCTGTGCAATACAATCTGGGATACACACTCATTAATTAATTTGAAGTATTGTTGCCTAAAACCAAAAGAATAAATGTACATTCAATTTACTAGTGTAACTTGATTTCAAAACAGAATATTTCTTTGGCAAGCTTGATTTCAAGTTCAACAACTTATTAATATAGTTTCAGCAGTTCACATAACAGATTTAACATGAGTGAGCATAAATACAATTGTTGTCACTTTCCTTCTGTTGACTTTAAGACTTTTTAAAAAATCTTTTAGAAAATACAGTGTGCTCTAAAGATGATTGTCAGCCGGCCCGTGGCTCACTTGGGAGAGTGTGGTGCTGATAAAGATGATTTTCTTAAAAAAAGTCAGACCCTTAATTATTTGGCAGTAAAAAAGAGATTAAGATGAAGTGAAATGTACTTAAGAGACTTTCACTCTACCACATAAGCCAATACATGTGAAAGAAACAGACAAAAAATATAAAAGGAAAACCGAAGTGATAGATGGCATGGGTACTATTCTAACGAAGTACAGTCCTCCATCCCCCAATCACCCCCTAGGACTTATTTCTCTCCTCAATGACTTTTGGCACACTTCTCTCCAAATCCTCCTCATCAAATATGTGATGGCCGCTCCAGCCACTTAGGCTTTCCTTCCCAGTCCTTGACTGACTTACCTTCTACCTAAAGAAACCACCTGTTAGGCTGAACAAAATTTACTACAGCTTAACATTACCAAAGGTGACTAATAGAGAGTAAAAATGTTCAAGAAATGGTTCTAGGGCACAAATCAAAGCATGAAGGTGCTCTCTATGCTTGCCTCGATTTTCTCAACTTCTTTCAAAGACGTTACGGCCCATCTCCTAGTATTTTAGCCATAATAACCACATTTACACTTAGGTACTTACATTTCACACATACTTATATCTATCACATTTGAAAATTTACATGATACAGTCCTTTTTTACTCTTAATCAATGTTAATCTAATGTTTTAATAATAAAAATTATAATTTTAATAATCATAATTCCAGTAAATTGCTTCTTAATTCTGCAATGCCCAGTTTTGAGTTCATTTATAATGTAGCTGAAATTTTGTGCAAAAACTCTTGGCGGGCAATACTGGCAAAGAATAATGTACTTCTGGGTTTCAGAAAAGAAGACTAAAAAATAATCTCTATGGGCAATATTGGTGAATCAGAAATATGTGAATAATTTAATTAAGGGGTAATCATAAACTGCTATTACCTCACTGATAAAATGCCATTTTTGTTGGAGTATTTTCTCTGTAGTATTTTTTTTTTTTTGTCTTTTTTCCGTGTCCGGCAACGGATCGCAACCCTCAGTGTTGCCCCCGGACCGGACCGGGGACCGGCAACGGGATCGCAAGCCTCGGCGTTGCTCCCGCGCCTCGCTCAGCCAGTGAGCGGGAGCCGGTCTGTATGTGGGATCCGAACCCTCGGACGGGAGCGCCGCCGCGCTTCCCAAGCGGCGCACTATCCAGTGCGCCACCGGGCCGGCCCATTTCTCTGTAGTATTTTTAACAAATATCAGTAATTATCTCTCACGCACATTCAACTTGCATGGTATTTTGCAGATGGTATGCCATTAGTTATTTGATACAGAACTGAATTTGATCTCCACTTTCCAAATGTCTTGCTACATTTTATTTTCCCCCTTTTTCTTGAGAAACAGGGGCTTCCTTTTATGTACATTTTCCAGATGAGTTCAATTTCAGTAAAATTTTCTTTTGTCCCAAAAGTAAAAATAAGAAAAGAATCTAATTTTTCCATCTACTTGTTCTTTTAAATGAGAATATTTTGCATTCTGCATGGAAACAGTTAATCTGTCATTTATGTTTGTTCTCATTAAAAGTATTTTAAAATGTTCATTAAACAAAAAATGTTCGGGTCATCTAAGATTTCTGAAAAGGTAAAATCCAGGTCCATCTTAGGTAGATAAAACCAAAAAATGAAGGTAAAACCAAAAGAACAACATTCACAGAACTGTGTACATCAATAACAGTAAATTTTACTGTATATAAATAAAAGGCTAAATAAAAGTTTTAAAGATGAATGTATCACAAAAATATTATGTTAATGACCACAATTCTGACATAATCTTGTAATGATAGTATAATCTCTTTTTAAGAATAAATAATAAGGACAACAATACTAATAAATAACTTTAAGAGTTTGGGGATATGGGGAAAAAACAGATGGAGCTGTCAAGTACAGCAGTCATTGGAACAACTCTACCTTCATAGCAACCTTTTCTGAAAGCAAGACCAAGGTCCTAAGGCTTAAAGAGCCAAGGAAGGAATCAACACAGATGAACACCAAATTTAAAAGCTGGTTCTCAAAAGATGACCAAAATAGTCATGCCTCACTAACATAACTTTGGAAATGCTACAATTTAATATTTATTTGAGATTCCTGATTCCACTAAAATGATAGAATCACCTGAACATGCTCCAGGACAGTTGAGGTTTTTAATGTTTTGAAGCTAGACACAACCACTTGCCCTTTTGGAGCACAGACAAGGGGATTAGAGTCATAAGTGAGATACAGTCCCTGCAGCTCTAGGGACACACAGTCAAACCACTGAAAGCAAATAACGGTCTTGAATTCTTGAGAACTCAAACACCATCAAACATCCAGAGGTTGACAGGGCCAACCACACATGGATTAAGAAACAGATTTTTATATAGCATTTATAAAGTGGTTAAATAAACTGTTGTATTTCATTTTTAATAAAACATCAAAAATTAGTAAATTAAACAGCAAAACCAGGTTACTAAAGTCATATATTATAATATCAATGGAATTTCGAGCTACAAAGGAAGTTTGATTCATGACCTACACGCATCCTGAAGAACCTAAAGTTTTGGGGGATCGCAACCCTCGGCACAGTGTGGTCTGCACCACGCTCAGCCAGTAAGCGCACTGGCCATCACTATATAGGATCCGAACCCACGGCCTCGGTGCTAACAGCACTGCACTCACCCGAGTGAGCCACGGGGCTGGCCCGAACCTAAAGTTTTAACATGTTGACTCTTATCTCTTGTTAGGTACATCAAAAAAGCATTGAGTTTCTCCATGTGACATCACTCAGAGGACACGGGCTGAGTGAGGCTGTCTAAGAAATTCTTCTACTTGAAATCAAATAGGAAAAGACACACTACCTACAGTATTTGAGAACCGGTATTTGAGTATTTAGCAAAGCTAAAATGGTGGCAATGAAAATGATTTTGTCTTCAAAGACCTCAGCTTCCATCATAAAACAGAAATAAAAGTGGAGGATATAGAAAACATTTATTCAGCATACAGCATGTGCCAGGGATTTGGCTACAAGGAGTGTTACCCATATTGCCACACTTCATCTTCATAACAACCCAGTGAGTTGGGTGCTAATAACCACATACAGCTACATTTTAATGTTGATGAGGTTGAGAAAGGATAAACATTTGTTAAACTCATATGTCTAGGATATAATCAAATTTGAAAAGCCATTTGTATAGCTTTTCTGATACATTAGCAACATTAAATGCCACTGTATTATTAAGGCACTTTCTAGCTATTTAAACACTAATGAAAGCAATGTTTACTACCCTTTCAAGTAACTTAAAAAAGAAACTAATCAACATCATTCCTACTGCCTAAGGAATAACCAGAAAATATTATCCACTACATGAATAACTAGCAATTTGTTGCTAGTCTGTTTTTATTCAGATGAAAAGTTATAACCAAGAATCCACTGGAGCTTAAATGCATTCTATGAATCAATATTATGACAGAAATACAAAATTATTTGCTTTTCCAAATCAAATATCAGGTGAACTGCACAATTAACATGTTTATTAGTGAAAAAACATTAGAATATAACTTCCTCTTACCTTATAAAATGATCATTTCGAATCAGCAGAAGATGCTGAAGAATAGAAATGAAATATCCCTCTGCTCTAGTTTCCTTAACTGTGTTCCACACCATGTTGTAAACATCATATGCTTCAGTAAGTTGATTAAGGAGTATATAGACTTATTTATACTCTACACTGAACAACTGTAATAATATGACATAGAATCTGCTCTGTGTATCTTACCCTAATACAGGTACCTTGTATATTCAACACAAAACACAGATATTGAAGATCAGGGCAAACTCTGGAAATGGTGACTTGACCTGACACTTCCTGACTTCTCTACAGTTAACTACAACCAATCTGCCTCTCCTAAATAAAGATGCTGATGGGAACTAAGGAGGTGGGCAGCTGGTTGTGAATATGGTATAGAGTTCTGAGGGTGCACTGATCAACAAAGCTGGTGCCAAGCACTGTACGTGTCACGGAGAAGCCCCAGTTGAGCACAGGATCTCAGGAAGAGCACAGACATTTGCAGATACGCAGAATTAAGATAGGGCCTGGAGCAGTATGCACCCAAGGCACAGGGAAGGAGAAGCCAGCAGGCTGAGGCTGACCATTCCAAATGCTGGAAAGTACTGGGCAGGAGGGGACATGCCAAACGTGGAAAGAAAAGAAAAAAGAGATTTGTACACATACCACAAGGAGCCAATCCAACAGAATCCATTTGTTAGTAAGACCCATTTACATATTTCATATTCATAAGAAATACACATTAAAACTAGTAAAATGATAATGTTCTTCTGATGCATAAAGGTTTGATTTCATATTGTTTATATAAAAATGAGTTAAATGTTTTAGGGAGTACAACTGGATGTTTTGGATTCAGTAATTTTATATATTATTTGACTAGACTTCAGAACAAAAGGATATTCAAATTCAGCTTTAATATCTTCAAGGCGATGGGAGAACTCAATCAAATCTTCTTCCTTATGCTCATCGAAGACCTTAAGCTGGATATCCAGGCCATCATTCTTAATACGTTTTAAATTCTAGAGATATTAAATAGAAATTATGGTGAAAGATTTTGCTTTTAATTATGTAAAAGAATAAAAACATATAAACAATAAACCAACCATTTAACTTGATTTATAGCATTTAAACATTTAAAGTGTTAAATAATACTCAAATTTTATCATCTATATTTCAAAAACAGATTTTTATACTCAAGACTTTTCCCACAGATAAATTATTCTTGAAGGTAATTTATCTAAATTTCCCCCTACTCAAGTACTCTTCTAATTTAAATATTAATAAGGAGACTGCAGGGCACTTACTGGCAATATCTCTTTCAATCCACAACGCATAAATTCATTTCTGATGTGAAACCTCAAGTCCAAATCATCAGGAGATGTAACAAGGGCATTGATGAGCTGCATACAAGCTACCTACAACAGATTACAAAGTGAGACTTAGACAGGGTTTCCAACATTGACGAAAGATTGACAAAACTGAAACATGAAAGTTTTGTTCTAAGAATTATCAAATACTTTCCCTCACAGGAGAGCCTATTAAAACAATAATATTTAAGTAATATATTTTAGTCAATTATAAATTATAGAAGAAATATAGTTTCAGTGGAGTTTTTTTTATTTCTCATTTATTTGGCAGTTACTGAGATGAAAGAGATGGAGAAACATTAGCCATTGGTATTGCTCCATAAAAAAAATTCACTCATAACTAAAAGTTAAGTTCTTGTCCAATAATATCATTCCACACACATACAAAAGAAATTGAAAACTACAAATATTTATTGGATGGATAATACTTACCTAAAATAGAATAATAAATATTGCTCCATAAAAAAAATTCACTCATAACTAAAAGTTAAGTTCTTGTCCAATAATATCATTCCACACACATACAGAAGAAATTGAAAACTACAAATATTTATTGGATGGATAATACTTACCTAAAATAGAATAATAATTTTCCATTCATCAAGAGAAACACACAGTCCTAAAGACCTCAAGGTCAACAAGGGTCTCGAATCTGGTTAATAGGATTAACCAAAAACTAAATGATAAATACTGTGTAATTAATTTCTAGAAGTTAATTTACCAGGCAATGATTCTCACACTTTGGCAAAAATTCAACATTACTATATGTTATGTTTATTAAGACAGAAATAAATTACATAGCTCACTATTTTTCAGTTCACATTTAACACTCCAACTTTCAACTTCTCCACTTTTCGTTTTTTTAATCCCTGGCTGAAATATACCTTTCATCATCTAAAATCCATATAGTGAAAGCAAAAATATTTCTCTCTAGAGATGCAAAGTATTTCTGGTTGTTGTTGATAATGTTATTTTTCTAAGTCTGCTTTCTAACCAAAGAACTATTGGACTACTGATCAATATGTTTAACTTCATGTTGTTCCCAAAATTGTCTTTTCTCCATTCCTTAAGGCAAGGTTTATATGAATTTAAAATGCCATTTTTGGAGTGAGACACCAACAGGGGTTTCAGTTCCTGCTGGTTGAAATATTTAGTAATTGTTATATTTGATATCTAAGCACTAAAATCTGGCCAGCATGCGGCTGTCAAAATTTAAGACTGTTTAAAGTGAAGTGAGCAGTCAAAAAGGTAATAACGAATAGTGGGACAAATGTCAGCAATGTCATAAACGAGACAATAGAGTAGATACACCATAAACAGAAATATCAACGATATTCAATATGTGGGTTAGAACTGGTCAAAGGAAATCTTAAGAATAGGGCAAATGATCAAAGGAAAATCATCAGGCATAGGAAGAGATTAATAGCAAAATAGAGGAACATGCCATTATCTATGTCATTTAATCAGCAAAGTAGCTTCCTGCCCTTGAAAATAAAGTGAGGAGGTTTCTTCACACGTGAATACATAGCACCTCAATTTCCTCTAGTACACACTTTACTGCTATCTATTACTAAGCTCAACACAAATATGAGAAAAAATAAAAACTTTATGCGTTTTTAGCCTTTGGTTTCTGACTTTTTGGACAAACAAGCTTAAGCACAAAATTCAAGAGACATTAACAGGTGTAATGCCTGAGCTCCATCACCAAGGCCCATTCTATTTTTTTCAATGGCTGCCAGAGCAGATGCTTTCTACATGACTGTCCTGAAGGAATTTAGAAAGTCTAACATACAACAGAAGCAAGTAGTCTTTAGAAAGTTAACTCTTGAGTCAACATGTTCATCCTCAATATAGGGAGAAGTTTTTACAAGTAAAATTATGGCTGTCCTACATTATAAAAACCTATCAGCTTGAGGAGCTAAATCCAGACTGAAAACAAGTACCAGTAAAATACTTAAATAAAAATTCTATCAGAATCTGTGAACAGTTATTATCTGGGTCTGGAAGATATGGTTTAGATTGCTATTCATCTTCCCTACCCCAAAGGAGAAATCATCTATCTGTCTTTGCACAATCAAATTTCACATTTATCAAGTTAAAATGAGTAAGTGATGCTTACAGAGAAATATTTCACCTCCAGTGCAAATAAAAAAACGCCAAAATTTTAAAATTCTCTATACACGTGCACTAATTTAGAATAAAAAAACAGACTATATTATGTAGACAAACACGGAAATAGTAAAGTAATCAACAGATGTAATGTTCTATAATTTTATTTATACTTCTAATTGCATGTTCTATAAATGGTAGATACAATAAGAGAGCAAGTCAGAGTTTGAAGTAACTGCATATACCCTATACAGACTCAGAAATAAATTGCAGGACTCGAGAGGCTATAATTTACATGAACAGGAATACAAAAGAACTTGGATTTTAAAAAAATATTTATTCATATATTACCCAAGACATCATTAATTTCTTCTATATTTTCCCATGAACTTTTTTGAAACTGCTAATATTGCAATTTTCATATGAAATATTAGAGGTAGCTTTAAATTCCTGAGTATAAGCTTCTTAAGGGCAGGACACTATTTCATTCATCTTTGTAGTTTCAGTAGCTGGCTAGCCCAGGGCACAGCAGTCAATTAATAATTACCTTATTATACTGTTTAATTATGAAACTTTGCAGTTACCTTTGAAACATTAGTTAAGTTTATCTTTCTAGTAGTCTATTATAACACATGAGGAAAGTACTATGTAGATTCAGAAAAGTAGCAGTAAATTCTAGATGATGTTAACCACAGTTTACACTTAGATGTGCTCCATATGACAATATCAGTTCACATTATTATTAGTTTACTGTTTCAAACTTATAGATTAATCCTACTGATGCAAATCTCAATAAAAGTAATACTCAAAACAGAGGAATTAAAACAAGTTGGTCCCCAAAAATGGTCCTAAAAATAAACTATTAATACTCTGCATTCTTCACTTTGGTCCTTCATATCTTTACATCCTTCTGGGATGCCCCAAAAATGGTCCTAAAAATAAACTATTAATACTCTGCATTCTTCACTTTGGTCCTTCATTAAATGTGAGAACAATGTATTTGAATTGAATGTAACTTTAGTTAACAATGATGGGGGGGGACTTAAAAAGAAATAATAAACCAAGATACTACTATTCATTACAGGAAGACCTTACTTTGTCTTGGAAAAATAAAATATGAGTGAATTCTGAGCATTTAAGAGATAGGGGGAACAAAATCAACCAAAGCATATAAACTTGGCTAAATCCAGAAAGGCAGTTTAATTTCTGATTTGTTTCAAGATGAGTCCAGTATGGTATTTGTCTGTTTATTGCCCAGTGACAAATTTCAAAGTACAGTGATTAAACTCAATTGAGAATTTTCTCCTACTCTTTTTAATATTTTAATGAACATAAACTACTTATATAATGGGAAAAAAATCTTAATTTTTTAAATTCAAAAAATACTTTTTTTTCTCCTACTTTCTGAGACATGAAAAAATGAGATCCAACCAAATTTTCAAAGATCTCTTATGTAATTGAACTGAATAAAATCCTGAGGTTTTTTTTTTTTTTAAATTAAGAAAAAATTTGATTGTCTTTGCAACAGCCATGAGAATGCAACTCTCAATCTTTGTGGGGAGCATAATCAACAAACAGCCCCTGCTGCTGCCTTCTGAAACCCATTCACAGGTGTTTGAGCTGAAGCCACATTTCTCACAGGCTCCTCCAGCCAATGCCTGCCTGAACACAGTGAGTATACTAAAACAGGCCTGGACACATGGGACTTTGGCTCAAGGATTCCCCGGTGGCCTTGCCAAGCTCTCCTAGAACTGCAGGACAGCCTGAGACACTTTCCCCCAACCTTAGTTCCTTCCCTCTCTCCCTCACCTAGAGTCAGATCTGCACCGAGTTTGACAGCTCTCGCAGCCTCCCCCAGCTCCCTCTCCAGGTCCCCTCACAGACTTTCCCCTTAGTCTCTTACACATCAAACCTCTTGCTTCTCAGAGGACCCACACTAACACAGCCTTATTTCACAAAGCAAGTTTCAACAAGAATATCATTTTCAAATTGTCTGATTCGTGTTACAACTGAAACAATCAAATTTCTTATTTTTCAAGTATTTAACGGAATACTTTCACTTCTTGTTGTTCTCTACATATGACCACCCTCTGCACTTTCACATATTATCATGAAATAAATGTTAAAACCACATGCATGCCAGATACTTGAGTAAGTTTGGAACACAGTTTTCTTCTACAAAGAGTTCCAGAGACACGAAATCTTCGATTACATCCTGGGCTTTTGCTTTTTGAAAAATATATTCCAGAGTAGAGAACTATCTACCATAGGAATTCTAGGAAGACATAACAACCATCTACTGCCCCTTCGACTACTGCATCAATGTTATCACTGTAGCTTAAGAAGGCTAAAGATATAATGTTTATAAGTAGAAGCATTGATAATCTTTGTTCTAGGTCATCTTTTCAAAGGATGTTTGTATAGCAAACAACCTTAGAAGATAGAGACAGTGTGTCTGTCTCCAGAGCAAAGGGCAGGCATGCTTTTACAGCTCATTATGAAAGATTTGGGTTCTCTGAGTTCAAAGTTCCTCTGCTACAGCACAACATGCCATCTCCCACCAGAGAGCTATGACCATGCTTTGATTGCCATGACCTAAACTTTACTAAGAAGTCTGTGGGAATAGCAAAGGATAGCTTTAGCTCCTGCACCTCCTCTACAAAACATCTTTCCACATCTCTGGATGTCTGCTCCATCCCAAATCCCCTAACTGTAGTTTATTCATTCTGTAGAGTGGGTAAAAGTGGCACAGACAAAAAGGATAGGTTAGACTGACACTCCCCCACCCCCCAAACATGGATTAGACTCAATTACTTCCTGAACCAAGAATCGTAAAGCTTATCAGCTGGCTGGGAGGTTATGTTAAAAGCCCCATCACCCTGTATGCCCTTAACTAATGAAAGTCCCAACTGGGGGATCTCAACAACAGCAAACCATAC